GCCCTTGACAGCTTGCCAAAACTCATTAAGAGACCCTTGACCCAAAATAATTGCCCACCCCTGGGTTAGACGAACCTAGGTTGATTTTGGATAGCATACGGGTCATCTTTGCATGACTGGGAGACATTGGATTCAGTGGCTTCCTGAGGTCTCTTCCAGCTCTACTTTTTCTATTATTTTAAAGAGAATAAGCAATTGGTTATGGGGAAAAAGCAGTGAGGGAAGGTAAGGGAAATAAATACTGTACTGGGTATAGCAGAGTCTAATAAAGAGAATGCAAGGAGGCAAGAGATGGTGGTAATAGTTAATAAGATGGAAATGGGGAGGAATATAGGAAGTGAGAGGATAAGGACAGCAGCAGGGAAAGATGTACACAAAATGTGGAAGGAGGCTGTTAGAAAGAATGAAAAGGGGGCAAGATGCCAGTGAGAGGGCTGGCAAGGGAAGTAAGCCATGCATAACTTACAGAAAACACTCCACTGAGGACAGGGCCATTAAAATTTTTTGAGCAAGCAGACCTTGGGAGGTTTGGGAGGTTCTGAGTGGATATATAGAAGGAAAGTGAGACATTAGCTAACATGACACAAAGAGGAGCTCCAGAGATGCACAGAAAGAAAATGAGGGAGAGAGGAAAATTTCTCAAGTGGAAGGCATCAATACTGTGAAATGTAACTAAAAGAACACGTTGTATTTATTCAGGGTGGTAGTTACAGGTTTGTGAGTGGCTTTTGTAAAACCAGCTGTGAGGAGGGGACAGGGGGATGCATGCACATATGTGCAGAGGCGTAACTAGCTGGTATGGTACCTGGGGCATTACTGGGCCCCCTCACACCCTGCACCTTTCCTGCAGTAGCTCCAGCTCTGGCTTCAGCAGCACGGCAGGCAGAGCAACAGTTGTGGTGCAGGAACAGCAGGTTCTCTGCTGCTGGGGAGATCATGTTAGTTTTGTGTGTGTGTTGAGTAGTCAGAAAAATCACCTGTTTTCAGCAGCAAAAGGAGGAGGTGACCTCTCCCTTAGCAGCAGCAAGCCACTGGCCACCGCACCTGCTCCTTATGCTGCCACTGCTTCTTTGCCTTCCTGCTGCTAGAGCTACATCTGGAGCTGCTGCAGGGAAGATACGAGGGGAAGAAGGGGGGCACATATGTTTGAGAAGAACCAGGAGGAGGGGGAGATGTGAGCATGAGGGTGAGGTGTGTGTATTCTCACTTTTAAATGTGGGCAGTGTGCTGTGCCAACTTTCTTTGTGTACCTGCGACATACTAAGTAACCTGCATTTGCAGCCTACACAAATCAAGTGTTTCCCAGTGTACTCAGGTATGTGCATGCTCAGGTTCTGAATGTGAAATGGATTTAAATGCAAATGTTGGTGTAGGTAAGACGTACATATTTGAATTTTCTGTACAGCAACAGTCGGCAACACAGAATGACTCGGTTGAGGTCTGGGGTGGGCTGATGCTAGGACCCAGCTGCTGCTGCTGCTTGTCCCTGCAGCAGCATCTGGGAAGTACCCACTGCCACTGTGTCTCCCCACTATGGCATAGGAGAAGTCCCTCCTCCACCAAACACCACCAAAACCCTAGCTCTGAAGAATGGATCTGGCCCATGAGCCGTAGGTGGCCAACTCTCCTAGAACTAAATCTTGTTTCTGCATAGGGCAATGTGATTCTTGTAATTATGTTCAGTGGGAAAAGGATTTGGCCCCCATTTTGATGTCTGGATTGTAAGTATAAAAAAGCAAACAGAGTAGCATTGTGAAAGGAATATAGTGGTAAAATGTCCCATGCCTATGGGTGCTTTTACACATGCCGGGGGTTTAGTTCTCCTGAAATTGAAACATTAGGCTTTTAATTGGTGAGTTTTTAATTGTGCCGATTAAAAACCCACCATTTCAATTTAGGGATTTCCATCACTGTGACAGAACAGGCTGTACTGAAGGGGAAAAAAAAGCAGCAGCAGTGAAGGTTTCGATCCTTTTTTTTTTTTTTTTTCCTCCCCCGGAGCCTGCCTGCCTCTCCTGCAGCCAGGAGACAAGCTGTTCGTGGGCCCTGAGCTGTGGGGGACCCTGGTCCTTCCCTCCACAGCAGCAGCAACCCCTGGGCAGCACCTTAGCATCCTGTCCAGGCAGTCCCGGGGGGTCAGCAGTACCATGGAGGGAAGGACCAGGCCCCACCCCTGTAGCTCAGTGACTGCACAATCTGACAGCAGCTCTTGTGGGCAGGCTTCACTGAGGAAAAAGAAGAAAAAAGTGATGAGGGGCCTGATGTTGGGGGGGGGGGGG